TCCGGCGCGGAGGCTGCTGACGGAGGACGTGGAGGAGGCTGGGAGATGTGAGCTTACGTGGCAAGCCGAGGACATTAAGAAAAACTTGTGGTTTTTTCCGTGGTGATGTTAGACGTGCGGCTTTCGTTCCTAAAACATAGCGAGCTGCCTAATGAAATATTTACAGATGACATGACAGGGTGTGCAGGGATTCCTGGGGGCGGGGCCGTGGGGCGCAGGGGACAGAGGGGCCTGGCCCGGCTCACACTCAGGCGGAAGCTGGGGGTGGTGCATGGGGGAGAACAGGACTCGCTCTTGGTGTCTCTCTCTGAAATTTTCCATCATTCAAAAGGAATGCCCGGCCCGGCCAGCGTGGCTCAGTGGGTTGGAGCCGAAGGTCTGAGGGCACATACGGAGGCAATCCACTGACATTTCTCTCGTACATTGGTGTTTCCCTCTCTTCTCCGCCTCTCTCTGAAATCAGTGTAAAACACCCTCAGGTGAGGAGGAAAAACAAGAAAGCCCGTCAGTGCCCCCCCAAGGCTGTGCACGCAAGCTCTCCACGGTTACGACGCGAGCTCCCGGGGCCGCGGGGACGGACTCTCCGACCGAACATGGAGGGGGGACCACAGGGCTGGTCCAAGGGCACCAGCGACGCAGCTCCGTGGCCAGGAGCCTCTTCTCCTTTCCTCACGGATCCAGGCGGCCCCACACAGTGTCCCCGTGGGTCCCGGCGGTCCTGCCCACCTGGTGGACACTCGCTCCCCGCTGCCCTGCCTGGTAACCTCCCCAGTTAGAGGCTCTCACAGACCCTGCCCCATTTGTTGACGGCATTTGGCTCTGCTGGCTCACGGAGACTTGTGTCACGGCCAATATTTGGCCACTGGACCCGCAACAGCCAAGTTCATGAGGCTCGCCTGCTGATGCGGCAGCATCCCCGCCAAGCTCAGGCGACTCTGCCGGCTCCGCTGCACACGGGCTCCCATCAGCACTGGCCGAGCGGCCTGTGCTCCGTGCACACGGGTCCCCCTGCAGGCCCAGCACAAGCAAGGTCACAGGCAGAGGACAGAGGACTGGCCAGGCAGGCCCAGCACCGACTGCAGCCCCAGGCAGACCTGCTGCACCCGCCCCCCAGCAGCTTGCCAACAACCTCAGGCGCGTGGGAGACCGAGGCTGTGTGGGAGACACCTGCACACGTGCACACACGCAGAGTTAACAGCACACCCACATGCACACAGAGTTAACAGCACACACATGCACACACGCAGAGTTAACAGCACACCCACATGCACACAGAGTTAACAGCACACACATGCACACACGCAGAGTTAACAGCACACCCACATGCACACAGAGTTAACAGCACACACATGCACACACGCAGAGTTAACAGCACACCCACATGCACACAGAGTTAACAGCACACACATGCACACACGCAGAGTTAACAGCACACACATGCACACATGCGGGGTTAACAGCACACATACGTGCACACATGCAGAGTGCACACGCTCATGCACGCACATGGAGTTAACTGTGCACACACATGTACATATGCGGAGTTAACACACATACACACGCAGAGTTAACAGCACACACATGCACACACGCAGAGTTAACAGCACACACAGAGGGACGGGGACATGACAGGTCACGTGTGGAATCCATGGGACACCCTGAGCAAAGCCACAGAGGGCCCGGCCCCCACAGACAGCCTGGCCCCCCACAAAGGGCCGAAAGAGAACCAGCGGGTGAGCCCCTGAAGGGACGCAGCTGCCCGTCCGGCGCGGAGGCTGCTGACGGAGGACGTGGAGGAGGCTGGGAGATGTGAGCTTACGTGGCAAGCCGAGGACATTAAGAAAAACTTGTGGTTTTTTCCGTGGTGATGTTAGACGTGCGGCTTTCGTTCCTAAAACATAGCGAGCTGCCTAATGAAATATTTACAGATGACATGACAGGGTGTGCAGGGATTCCTGGGGGCGGGGCCGTGGGGCGCAGGGGACAGAGGGGCCTGGCCCGGCTCACACTCAGGCGGAAGCTGGGGGTGGTGCATGGGGGAGAACAGGACTCGCTCTTGGTGTCTCTCTCTGAAATTTTCCATCATTCAAAAGGAATGCCCGGCCCGGCCAGCGTGGCTCAGTGGGTTGGAGCCGAAGGTCTGAGGGCACATACGGAGGCAATCCACTGACGTTTCTCTCGTACATTGGTGTTTCCCTCTCTTCTCCTCTCTCTGAAATCAGTGTAAAACACCCTCAGGTGAGGAGGAAAAACAAGAAAGCCCGTCAGTGCCCCCCCAAGGCTGTGCACGCAAGCTCTCCACGGTTACGACGCAAGCTCCCGGGGCCGCGGGGACGGACTCTCCGACCGAACATGGAGGGGGGACCACAGGGCTGGTCCAAGGGCACCAGCGACGCAGCTCCGTGGCCAGGAGCCTCTTCTCCTTTCCTCACGGATCCAGGCGGCCCCACACAGTGTCCCCGTGGGTCCCGGCGGTCCTGCCCACCTGGTGGACACTCGCTCCCCGCTGCCCTGCCTGGTAACCTCCCCAGTTAGAGGCTCTCACAGACCCTGCCCCATTTGTTGACGGCATTTGGCTCTGCTGGCTCACGGAGACTTGTGTCACGGCCAATATTTGGCCACTGGACCCGCAACAGCCAAGTTCATGAGGCTCGCCTGCTGATGCGGCAGCATCCCCGCCAAGCTCAGGCGACTCTGCCGGCTCCGCTGCACACGGGCTCCCATCAGCACTGGCCGAGCGGCCTGTGCTCCGTGCACACGGGTCCCCCTGCAGGCCCAGCACAAGCAAGGTCACAGGCAGAGGACAGAGGACTGGCCAGGCAGGCCCAGCACCGACTGCAGCCCCAGGCAGACCTGCTGCACCCGCCCCCCAGCAGCTTGCCAACAACCTCAGGCGCGTGGGAGACCGAGGCTGTGTGGGAGACACCTGCACACGTGCACACACGCAGAGTTAACAGCACACCCACATGCACACAGAGTTAACAGCACACACATGCACACACGCAGAGTTAACAGCACACACGTGCACACACGCGGGGTTAACAGCACACATACGTGCACACATGCAGAGTGCACACGCTCATGCACGCACATGGAGTTAACTGTGCACACACATGTACATATGCGGAGTTAACACACATACACACGCAGAGTTAACAGCACACACACGTGCACACAGGCAGAGTTAACAGCACACACGCGCACACACGCAGGGTTAACAGCACACATACGTGCACACATGCAGAGTGCACACGCTCATGCACGCACATGGAGTTAACTGTGCACACACATGTACATATGCGGAGTTAACACACATACACACGCAGAGTTAACAGCACACACACGTGCACACAGGCAGAGTTAACAGCACACACGCGCACACACGCAGGGTTAACAGCACACATACGTGCACACATGCAGAGTGCACACGCTCATGCACGCACATGGAGTTAACTGTGCACACACATGTACATATGCGGAGTTAACACACATACACACGCAGAGTTAACAGCACACATGCAGCGTTAACTGCACACACATGGAGTTAACACACACGCACATACGTGGAGTTAACTGCACACATGTAGATTTAATGATGCATACACACATGTGCACAGAGAGCTGACTGCACACACGTGTGCACACACTGAGTTAACCATACACACACGTGTGCGCGCACATGCCTGCAGAGGGGAGTGCTGATCAGGAAAGGGGTTTGGGAGGAAGACAGGACTGCAGGCCTGCGGGGGGACAATGCAGTGACACACAGCACCCATTTCCCGGGAGAAAGAGGCCACGCACCCGAGGCTTCCCGCCTTCACCTGCAGGCCCGGGCCCGTGTGGCTGGGAGCAGGGTGCCCACGGCTGCGGCTCAGACCACGCTCAGTGCGAGAACAACCAGGGACACACAGGACAGGAAGGAGACAATCCCAGTGGGGACAGAGGGTGCCCGTGGACAGGCAGGGAGGGAGACCCAGCCGGGCATGACCCCCGCAGGAGGTGGCCCTTCCCCTGGGCCTGGGCAGCCCTGCGTGGCTCGGACGTGACTAGTTCAGGGTGCTCAGGGGCGGCGCTGCCTGTCCCCCGGCATGTCCCTGACAGGGTCGCTCACACCCCTAGTCGCCGTGTTGTGCAGGGGCCACGTGCGTGGCTTCAGGGCTCGTCTGCCTGATTGAGGGCATCACCTAAGGGTCACTATTTCCTTAGCCCTCCGTGCCTGGGTCTCCTCACCTATAAAGCTGGGGGCCGGCCGGCGTGGCCCAGTGGTTGAGCGTCAACCTATGAACCAGGAGGTCACAGTTCAATTCCCAGTCAGGGCACGTGCCCGGATTGCAGGCTTGATCCCCAGTGTGGGGCGTGCAGGAGGCAGCTGATCCATGATTCTCTCTCATCATTGATGTTTCCATCTCTCTCTCCCTTGCCCTTCCTCTCTGAAATCAATAAAAATAAATAAGTAAAAGAGTGACACAGAGGGGCAGCAAGCGATCAAAGGCAGCACGTGGAATGAGACCGTGTCTGTGGGACCCGCGGGCCCTTTGGAACGCTTGGCGTCACCACCAAAGCCCAGGGCAGGAGCCAGTGGGTGAGCAGCACCAGCAGCCCAGCCCCGACTCCAACGCGGCCAACACACACACACACACACACACACACACACACACACACACACACACACGTCCCTGCTGTGCCTTGCGATTCGCGGCGGAAACTGAACAGAACACAGCGCAGCAGGCCCGCGCCACAGGCTGGAGACACAGGCGCCGGTTCACTGGGTGATCCGATTCCCGCCCGAGGCTCTCTCCTCTGCCCCAGGGAGCAGCCGTCGCCGCCAGAGCTGGGCTTGGCGGGCAGCAGAGGGACACGCGGACTCGGGAGGCGAGAGGCGTGTGGGCGTCCACACGGGGTCACACCTGTCCACAGGCGTCCAGGGGAGCTGTCCCGACCAGCTGGACGGACGCTGGCATCCTGCCCCACCCCACCCCCCAACCCCCTGCAGTACTCACGCAGGAAGTGCTTCTCCAGCAAGGCGATTTCCAGGTGACCTTTGATCTCATTCAGGCGATCAGACTCCGTCCGGTTAAAGTCCTGGACTCCCGCGGCCATGATGAGGGTCCCTGGACCGGCCTGGAGGGAAGCACCGAGAGAGAGCGCTCGGGGAGCCGCCTCGAAGCCTCCTGCGTCCACCCAGCGTCCCAGAGCCCCTGCCGGACCCCGCAGACAAGGCACGGATTCAGCCTTAAAACCGCATCAGGTCGCCTCGGCCTCGCCCCGCACCAGCCGGGGTGGTGGAAGGCACAGTGGCTCCCCTGCCCCACCCCGGGGAGATGCGTATGCCCGCCAGCAAACCAGTCTGTCCACCCTGCCCACCCTCCCTTGGTGGCCAAGAGGTGGCCACATAACCACGTGATTATACGTAAATACCACTGAACTGCACACTTAAAAATGGCTCAAGTGGCAGGTTTTATGTCATGTATATTTCACCACAATAAAGGGATGCAATGAAGAGGAAGGACCTAAACACACACAGGTCACCAACCTCCCTCATAATGAGGCCTCACAAACAACTACTCGGAGCTCCCGCCCCCCACCTCCTGCCCCCGCCGGGCGGGAGCCAGCAGGGCCAGAGCACAGCTGAGCGACGGAGGAAGGGCGTGGGGCACACACCCAAGAGGGCGGCCTGGTAACGGCCACCGGGATGACACACACCAGCCACCTGGTGGGCACGAAGCTCTCGGGAGTGGCAGATGCCCGGAGGCGCCGAGTGTCCTGGAGGGAGAGGCTCCTGCAGCGAGGGCAGCCCCCCCTCCGCCCCCGTGGGATCCTGCGACCAGCCACCCCCACCTGCAGAAATGGCCCCCGAGAAATACATGGAGGAAATGGATGGGGCCTGGCTCACACAGCCCTGGGCGCCACCCCCATCCCCGCTCCGTCCCGAAGCCTCGTGGGGCACCGCACTCTTAGGACAGCGCCGTGGCCTCCATGGTGCCCGGATGGGAGCACTGTCACCAGCCCTGCCTCGTGGCCGTGATGGAACTGCCCCAGCCTGCTGACCCTCTGTGCTGTTAACTGCCACGTGCACTCAGACATGCATGTGCATGCGTACACACACATACGTGCACGCACACGCACATGCACATAGGAGGGCCGGGCTCCGGGTGGAGTCAGGGTCTCCATCAAGACAGTTCCTGGACACAGGCAGCTGCCACTGGCCTGGCTGGACAGATGGACAGAGCGTGGAGAACAGTCAGACTGTGGACGCTGCGGGATCCAGCCTCTCTCTCTCTCTCTCTCTCTCACAGCCTGGAGCCACATGTGGGGATTCTTGCTTCTGAGAGGACCACCCTCGGCCCCAACAACATCTGGAACCACAGCCCCAGCTCCAGGCTGATGCCGGCCAAACAGAACACACCGCTGTCCTTGCAGACAAGCCGTGCTGCTCGGTGACGTGGTGCACCAGGGGCACGGCGAGCCGCCTAAAAAAAAGGGAGCGGCGGCTCTCAGGAGGCAGTGCCAGTGAATTATTCATCCCGCCAGGCGCGCAGGCCTGCTCCCTGACGGAGCATCAATAATACACGGAGCGGGAGGCAGGCGCACAGGCCGCGTCCGCACAGAACACCTGGCTCAGGTCCTCGCGGAGGAAACCCATGGGCCCCGGCCGTGGGGAGGGCCGGGCGGTTGTCACAAGGATGCGCCCAGTGATCGTACCCGGCCAGAGAGGGGGCCACAGAGATCCCCCCACCCCGCTGATCAAATGCAAGCTCCAGACGCGGGGCCCACAGGGCTGGTGCCCACAGAGCCGCCGCGCCATGTGGGGGTGCCCTGGGATAGTTGCTGCCCCGATGAAGAGCCCCACCAACTGGCCCACGGGGACCATGTCTCTGAGAGGGCTGACGAGGGCACCCGGCAGCAGGCCGGGGCTGAAGCTTCCAGAGTGCCCTGTCCGTGCCCCTCCCGCGTTACCGCTCCCAGGGGGCCAGCCTGGGCCTCAGCACCACCTCTGCTGAGGAGTCTGCCCCCACCCCCCACTGGGAGGGAGGACCAGCTGCTGCGCCAGCGCTTGGCAGAGGAAAGGCTGCTACCCGGCCCGGGACAGGGACCTCCGCCTGCCAGC